GTGAAACACATAAGGGAGGAGAAACCCTCCACTGATTCTCATGAGTATGATGACTGGGAACAAGAGGATGCCCAGATTATCACGTGGTTATGGAATGGTATGGAACCCAAGATTAGTGCAAGTTTCATGTTTCTTGACACTGCCAAAGATGTGTAGGACCATGCTAAGAAGTTGTATTTTGGTCAAGACAATACAACCAGAGTATATCAGCTGTATCAAGAATACTTTAATCTGCAACAGGGCAATTAGAGTCTTGAGGAGTACTATGCTAGTATGAGAAACATTCGTAATGACTTGAATGTTTATCACCCCCTCACTTCTGATGTCAAAATTCAGCAACAACAGAGAGAGCAACTTGATGTGACTCGATTTTTGGTGGGGCTGAAATCTGAGTATGAACCAGTGCGGGCTCAGATACTAGGAGGGTCAGCTCTCCCTTCCTTAGAAGAGGTGTTTGCTCGACTTCGGAGGACTTCCATTGGATCTACTGAGAACTCTAATGTTTCTGATGGATCAACCTTTGCAGTATCAAGGGGTCGTGGTGTTAGAGGTGGAGCTCGGGGAGCTTAGTCTGGCCGTAGTGATAGCAGTGGTCCGGTATATGGTCAGAGTGGTGGTGGTGGACCTACATATAACCATGGTGGTGGTCGTACTGGAGGTAAAGATTCAGGGGGAGCCCGTGGCAGAGGGCGTGGCTCGGGTCCGAGGAGATGTACTCATTGTGGTATGGATGGACATACCATTAATTATTGCTATGACTTGCATGGTCCACCCTGAATTTGGGCTAACATGCCATGACTAGTGACACCGGTTTCAGACAGGAGAGTCGTTCAGTTGATCAGATGCATCCTACATCCACAGATGTTCCCAGGAAGGAGATGGTGAATGTTCCTCGTGATGAGTATGAGAGGTTTGTCAAATCCACATCTCAGCAGAACACGACTACTTTCGCACACTCAGGTATGGCTTGTTTGACATCCACACCCAATCCCTGGATTATTGACTCTGGAGCCTCCGATCACATGACTAGAACTCTAGGTGTGTT